TGCAGAGAGACGTGTGACACGGTCACAAGCTCTTGGCAAACTCTTGTCCAGCCTATAATCCTGACTGAGCTCTCTGTGGCTTCTGGTTATTTTTTATTTTCTAATCTGAAAGACAAGCTCCCTGGACGAGTTTGACAGGAAATATAATCAGAACCCAGCAAGAGCTACCAATTTAAACACACAAAAAGAAGACAAAACCCCCCCAAAAAAAACACACAAACGAAACAATGTAGGCCTACAATGCAAATTTTAAAAGAAGGCATTATATTTCAACTTTTTATTTCTTTATTATATTTAAAAAGGATGAAATAAAAAACATGAAATCTGAAACAAAGATATCCACTTAAATTAAATAGGACATTATTACACAGACATCCTGCATACCTTATTTTGCTATAAATTATACAAGTACAAGCGTGACAGAAATATAAGAACTCATTATAATAACAAATCCGTCGTAGTATGTCATCATCACACTCCACTCATTACCAGATTCAGAAAAAGAAAAACCTGACAACTTTCGTTCAAACTCAACAGGCACTCGATGCAAAACATCAATTACATTGTAATTGTAATTAGGAGTTGTGCACAAAAATCACTGACTGTAAAATTTTGAACAGCCCATTACATTGATCTATCTAACAAAAGAGGAAAAAAAAGAAAGAAAATCAATTGAAGGCACTGGCCGAATTTAAAATAAAAAGAGGTGTTTCTACTACATGTAACAGATCAGATTGTCAACTCCTCCAGTGCAGAAAAGAAAACCTGCTAGATCTAATTACAAAAGAAAACTAAAAGTAAAAGACTTGCAACACTTTGGTTAGAGTTAGAGACAATTGTTTCATGTGTACTTACTACTTAATAATTAACTAAAAACCTCCCAGTTCCAAAACATTAAATATATTTTTCGATCCATTGAAGGTGGCAAGGTTTTCCTTCACAAACGGTCCTTCCATCAACTGCAGCCTGATCCAATCCTTGAAAAATCAACCGTGCCAGGTCACAAGTAGAGTAGCATTTATTTGATGAAAATTTCGTCCAACAGCCAATTAGTAAGCTACCATGTCTCATACATTACCTTGCTGGGTCATGTTCGTCTTTCGTTTTCTTTTGGACAGAATACAAATTTAAAGTAAGTTGAAACGTTCGGAATTCCAGGCAAAATTCGATGAAGCAAAGCAATCATTTGAGAGTGTGCAATCCCCACTCAATCATGCAGATCCAGCCCATTCGACCAATGTTAGTTTTTAAAGCATCCCTCCCTGGCAACTTCCGTTGACACTGCCCAGACTCACTCTACTGTTCTATTATAACTCGTTCATAACAACATCAAAATAATGTATTCAACTAAATGTAAAATAAATCATACATTATTTATCATGTAGGCTACCATTTGAAAACTTCTCTTTTGCAAAGTATTTTTTCATGAATCATACAACAATGGATGCAATCCATCCTGAAAAACAGAAAAATTAATTTGCACCAGGTGCAAGCTCCTTCCTTCAGAACATGCTACTCCGACAAATTTTGATTTTCTGCAATGAAAAGTTTTCAGGAATTGTTGTAATTTTATTTACAAGATGAATCTAGAATTCACCTGATAGCATTGGCATTACTGATCACCCTTTTACAACTTACTTACACTCACAATTTCAGGTTTAGTCTTGAGATTATTGGCTAACAATTTTGAAACCGATGGAGCATACTTTCTGGTTTTCCTACTTAATTTTAAGAAAGAGAATGAAAGACATTGAGAGAATTTAATGAACTTAGAACACGTAGTGTACTGTAGTGAAAATCCAAATTTAATTGAAAGTGAGTGCTCAAAATATCAATACTTAAAACTCTGCAAGGAGCTGGTAATTAAAACAGTAAAATGATTAACTAGATCCACTGGACATACCCACATAATCCATCCTGCAGTTCTTCCGCAGCTTACACTTACAAAGCAATTCATTCACTCAGCAGAACTGTAACCTTCTCATGAAAGCAGTCAGTTCAAAGACAAAAAGTGGCACTGTACGGGAAATCCCCTCATGGTCCAGTCTTTTTCACAGACAACAAAACATCTTACTTTCAATAACATGGTTTACACTAAAACACTCAGCTAATACACTAGTTCCCTGTGGGTTGCACTTGTTGTTGCATTTTCTTCATGGTGGCTTCATCTTGCTGAGATAATGCAGTCAGTTTTTTACCGATTCTGTCATGCACCTCTAAATACTTGGCAACACAGCGATCAATGCACACAGACTCTCCTTTGGAAAGATCAGGTTCTTTGTACTTGGCAGGGATGCACTTCTTCTGGCATGCTGCTGTCATTCTGTTGTGGGGATGACAAAGACATCAAAGTTATGGTAGTAGTAAAAAAAAAGAAAATTCATGAAGCCAAAAATATAACATATTACTTAAAAATAAAAAGCAGACCAAGCTGGAGTTGAAACAGCACCTGAAAAAAAAAAGGGGGGGGGGGGGGGGGGGGA